CGGGGATGGGGGGCGGGCGATGGTAGGGGGGGCGCGGAGGCAGGGGCAGCTCTTGCCTCTCCTCGGATCCTCCCCTACTTGGCTGCTAGTCACTGACTTACCAGCTCTCTGATGAGGTGGTTTTCTAACTAGCGAGTTCTCCAGGCCGGGTCATTCTGGCGCAGAGTGGACTGCGGGAGGGAGCACTGCCTGGAGAAGGACTCCTCTACCACGGCATTTTTGTCTTTCTCTCTGCCTCTATTTCCGTGTTTCCCTGTCTCTTCTCTGTCCTATTCTTCCTTCCTTCATCTACCATCAGTCAGATTGTGTCACCTCACAACCTGCCCCAGACTCCCATCTCACCCAGCAAAAACCAAGCTCTCCCTGGTGTCCACAGTTGCCCCTTCCACCTTCACTCTCCACTCCGCTTTTCCTCTGGTCCTCATCTTCTACTCACTTCCCATCATCCATTGCACTTTACACTCGCCTCCTCATTCCTACCTCAGGGCCTTTGCACTTACTGTTTTGTCTTCCTGGAAACCTCCTGCTCCTCACCTCCCTCCCACCTGGCTATCCATGTGGCTCACTCGTCACCTCCTTCAGGTCTTTACTCCAATGTCACCTCTCAGGAAGGCCCTGCCTTCCCTTTTTATGACTATAACTCCCCCCATATGAGTCCTGCTTTATCCCTCTGTAGTTTTCTTCCTGGCGTGCATTACTGCCTGGTCTTGTGTTATCCGTTCATTGCATTTCTCTGTTTACTGTCTCCACGGAGTTGAAGCTCCACAGATTCAGGGATCTTTGTTTAAATTTGTTCACTGCTGTATTCCTAGCGCCTGGCACAGAGTTGGTGCTCAGTAAATATTTATTGAACAAATGACATGGAACAAACACTCGCATTCGACAAAGTCTCTGTGCCTGGCGTGCTGGGGACACAGCAGTGACCAGGAACAGTCCAGGGGAAGGGATGGACCCATCCCCAGACAGTGATGACCCAGCATGGCCAGGGCTGGGACTGGGGAGCCCAGGGGAAATCAGGGGGGGCTTTTTGGAGGAGAGGGCATCTGAGCTGCAAATCGGAGGATGAGCAGGATGAGGAGGGGAAGGGATTCTAGACAGTGGGACCAGCAAGTGTGTGGACTGGAGGTGAGAAATGGCCAGTTCAAGGAAGAGGGAAAATGTCAGTGTTGAACCCAGTGTAGACAGTGTGAGTAACTGACTCTGAGACTGGGGAGGTGGCTGGGAGGCAGACCACCCAGGGCTGTGGCCAGGAACCTGCGCTTTGTCCCGAGGGCACTGGGGAGCCCTGGAAGGGTTCAGAGCAGGGGAGGGACAGGGTCCAACTCCAGCTGCCTTTGGGAGCATGGATTCAAGGGCGAAAGTGAGTGAGACTGGGGCCGGAGACGAGGGAGGAGGCTGGGGCCGGAGGAACAAGGAGGAGCCTGGATCAGGACGGGGCCTTGGGGAGGGGGAGGAGAGCACTGGTTTGAGAGCGATTTTGGAGGCCGAATGGAACATTCATAGTGGAGGCTGCCAGGGTGGAGGTGGGGCAGGAAGCCGGGCAGGCAGGGAGGCGAGGAGGTTATGGGGGGTGCAGGAGCCTGAGGTGTTGGTTTAAGGAGCCTGGAGAGGGGGTGAGTCAGAGCCCCCACTCCCACCCCAGGAATCCTCCTTGGGAGGGAGCGGCCCAGTGTGCACTGCTCCTGAGGCCTTCGAATCCACCTTTCTCTCCTCTGCCAGGCTCTGCTCTGTCTGTCTGTCTGTCTGTCTGTCTGTCTCCCTCCTCGTTTCTATCTCCTCGTTTTCTCTCTATTCTTTGCCTAACTTACTTCCCCCCCCTCTGTCTCTCCATCTCTCCGTGTCTCTCCCTTTCTCTCTCTCTCTCTTCCTCCCTGCCTCTCTCAGTCTCCCGCTGGTTCCCCGTCGTCCCCACGGACCCCCGTCCCCCAAGTCCCTTCGGGGAAGCGGTGGGCGGCGGGACCGAGGGGCGGGGTCGGCCGGGACACCTGGGGCCCCCACGCCCCCCCGCCGGCTAGGAGGCGGCTCCGGAAACCCGGACAAACCCCGGAGCCCGGGACCCGCGCCCCGGCCCGGCCCGCCCTCCCACCTTATCTCTTCCTGGCACCTTCCCCCGTTTCCTCTCTGGAAAAGCCATCAGCGCCCTGCGCCTCCCCTCCTCTGGTACCCGGGGAGCCGCCTAGGCCCCGCCCAGGCCCCGCCCCCTCGCCTCATTGGCCCGCTCTCGCCGGCCCCGCCCACCGGCCTGGCCACACCCCCGCCCTGATTGGCGCCTCAGACCCGCAGACCACTCTTTCCCCGTCTTCGCGCAGATCCATCCTTGGCTCCCCAGTGCCCCTCAGGACGCAGAGTGCGCCGTGACCAAGGCTCGCTGCCCCTCTCCTGCCCCGTGGCTACCCTGAGGTGGCTCAGTGACATTCAGTCAACAGACTGTTACTGAGCGCCTACAGCGTGCTCCCGCACTGTTTTAGGCCCTGGGGATATAGCAAGGAACAAGCCAGATAAAGGTTCTTTTCTTGTAGAATTCCTAGTTAATGGGGGATTTTAAATTAATCTATAATATCATATCGTATATGATAAGAATTATGAAGAAAAATGAAGCAGAAGAAAGAGAGACTGGTGAGGGACTATTTTAGGGGCATCAAGGGAAGTCTCCTGGAGGAGGCAGTATTTGTGCAGAGACCTGAAGGAGAGGAGGGGGTGGGCTGAGTGGAGATCTGGGGGAAGACCATATCAGGCAGAGGGGACAGCAGGTGCAAAGGCCCTGAGGCAGGAATGTGCCTGATGTGTTTGAACAAGGAGCCCAGGGTGGCTGGAGGAGATGAGGATTCAGAACTGGCCATGGGCCACCAGAATTTTTAGCATTCTAAACTTATGATTCACTAAACAAGTGTTTTGAACTGAACGTTTAAGACTATCTCATGGCAAAGCATTCATGCTCCGTCACATGCTCTCCCTCCCACCCCTGACCTCACGGGCTCTCAGGTTCTCTGCCCTGGAGGCAGCCCCCATGAGTAGTTTCTTGTATCTTTTTCTGGATTTATTCTATTTTTATTAAAGCATATACATTTAATTATTGAGTTTCCTGTTTAAAAATAGGACATACGAATGCTCATTATTCGGCCTTCCTTGTTTGTTTTCTGATAACTTGTGAGACTGTGGCTCAGGGGCTCCCAAGTTCATTGGTTTATTCCATAAATATGTCTTGAGTGCTTTCTGGGCACATTGTGCTGGCGCTGGGGACAGAAGGAATAGATATGGTCCTAGCCCTCCTGGAGCTCACATTCTAATGGAAGGAGACAGAATAAGAAAACCAACAGATAAATAAAATAGTGGTGAATTGCAATAGATGTTGTGAATGAAACAACAAAGGTAGAGATAGAAAGTAAGTGGATAGTGGTGGTTGGGGCACTGCCTCCCGTCGGCTGGCCTCTCTGAGGATGTGACATCAGAAGGAAGCTGAGGGAGCCAGCTGTGGGGAGCCTAGGGCGGAGTTCCAGGGAGCGAGTGGCCCGTGCAAAGGCCCTGAGGTGGAAAAGAGGTTAGCGTGCTGGTAAAACAAGGAAGGCAGGTGAAGAGGCTGGAGGGGAGATAAGGTCGGATGCAGCAGCAGGATCCGAATTAGGTAGAGCTGTGCTCCTCAGACTGTTCCGTCTCGGCACCTCATTACACTCACAAATTACTGAGGACCCCAAAGAGTTTGTATGTCCACGGATTAAATCTGCCGATATTGACCATATTAGAAGTCAAAACTGAGAAAACATTTAATATTTATCTCATAATATTAAGTAACCAACAATAATTATGTAATTATTAAGTAGCAACTTATATATTATAAATGTTATCAATAAGTTATTGATAATGTTAATTTACGTTAATATTGATAATAATTAATATTATAAGATCATTTAAAATAATAATAAACCTATTACATGTTAACCTACGTCACATATGTTTAATGGAAATTAACTATTTTCCAAACAGACACAAAAAAATTAGAGAGGACAGTGGTCCTGTTTTATATTTTTGCAAATCTTTCTAACGTCTGGCTTCCGAGGAGACGTGAATTCTCACATCTGCTCCTGCATTCAGTTAGTTGCAGGATCACACATCTTGGAGCCTTTACAAACCCCACTGTCCACTCTGGAAGACACGAGAGTAAAGAAGATCGTGCCTTAATATTATTATTAAAATAGTTTTGACTGTGGAAACATCTGAAAGGGTCTTGGGGAACCCCTGGGGGGGGGTTCTCCGGGCCACACTTTGAGAACTGCTGCTGTCAGGCCTTGTGGGCTGTAGTAGGAATTTTGAGCTTGGATAAGAAGCAAATCGAGACTTGGGAGCAGCGTCTCGTGTGGTTTGGGGCTTGTTCCTAAAAAAAAAAAGAGGGCAAGAGGAGAAGCCAGGAGGCCACTGGGGTGACTAGTGTGTCCCCCCAGGCAAGAGATGGTGATGGCCGGGATGAGGGAGAGATTTAGGAGGCAAAAAGAAAAGGCCTCGCTGAGGGATGGGATGTGGCTACGGAGGAGTGAGAAGAATCCATTCAGGAATGATTTCCAGGTTTCTGGCCTCTCCTGGGTGGGGAGGGGGTACCGTTTGTTTCCTGAGATGGGCACAGCTGAGAGCGACACGGCTCTGGGGGCTGGGCCCGGATTCCACCAAGGGCGTCGGAAGGAGCTGTCTAGGAATGTGGACGAGGCAGTTGGCTCTGAGGCTTGAGCTCCAGGGAGAGGCCCAGGCCGGTCTGTAGATTCGGAGTGGACGGTGGAGGGGTGTTGAAACCACAGGAGGGGCTGAGATTGCGTAGAAGAGAGGAGGAGCCCTTCTACCCCTGGCAGCAGCTCACCTGTAACTGTTAGAAATGCAAATTCCCTGGGCCTGCCCTGTGGCTTAGCGGGTAAGTGCGCACGCTCCGCTGTAGGCTCAGGCGCGGACTCTCCCGCAGGTGCACGCCTACATCATCAGCTACCTGAAGAAGGAGATGCCCTCCGTGTTTGGGAAAGAGAACAAGAAGAAGCAACTCATTCTTAAGCTGCCCGTCATCTTCGCGAAGATCCAGCTGGAGCATCACATATCTCCTGGCGACTTTCCTGACTGCCAGAAGATGCAGGTGGGGGGCCTCCCAGGAGGGAGGGGGGAGGGGAAGGTCGGCTTCTGTGGGCTCCAGAATGGGGCCTCAAAGAGTGGAGGGAGGGATGGCAGGTTCTGGAAAGCACCTCCTGCAAATGGTTCTGTAGGAGCATGGTTTTATGAGTTAGGCTAAGGGAGTGAAGACAAAACCCCAAATAACTGTGAGTTAATTAAGATAAAGGTTTATTTCTCTCCTTTGTAAAGCCCCAGAAGGTAGTCCAGGGCTGGTTTGGTGTTCTACAGAACCAGGGACCCTTCTGTCTTATTTCTCCTCCATGCCTGGCCTCTAGCCCCGAGCATGCCTCATGGTACAAAATGGCTGTGGAAGCTCCAGCCACTGTGTCTGCATTCCAGCCAGCAAGAAGGGAGGGGAAGGGAGGAGGGGAAGCTAAGGGGACTCTCTCTTTAAGGGCACTTTCTAGAACAGTGCTGTCTAATAGTACTTTCTATGTGATGGCAGTGTCCTATGCTGTGCTGTCCAATATGGAAGCCACTAGCCACATTAAAGCTGCAATTTTAGGTTTTATTTAATTTTAACTAATTTACATTTAAAGATTTTATTTATTTTATTTTTTTCCCCCCAAAGCCCCAGTGGATAGTTGTATGTCGTAGCTGCACATCCTTCTAGTTGCTGTATGCGGGACTCGGCCTCAGGATGAACGGAGAAGTGGTGCCTCGATGCGCACCCGGGATCCGAACCCGGGCCACCAGCATCGCAGCGCGCGCACTTAACCACCAAGCCACAGGGCCGGCCCTAATTTACATTTAAATAACCACGTGTGGCTATTGTATTAAACAGGGCAGTTCTAGAGTTGCTCATGTAACTTGTACTGACATCCAATTGGCCAGAACTTAGTCACATGGGCACAACTGGCTGCAAGGGATGCTGGGAAATGTAGTCTTTCCTCTAGGTAGCCAGGTAATGTTCTGGGATTCCAGTATTGAGGAAGAGGGTACAAAAATAGATACGGGGTGGGGCCGGCCCCGTGGCACAAGCGGTTAAGTGCGTGTGCTCCGTTGCGGTGGCCAGGGGTTCGCAGGTTCTGATCCCGGGCGCGCTCAGATGCACCGCTTGTCAGGCCATGCTGTGGTGGCGTCCCATACAAAGTGGAGGAAGATGGGCACAGATGTTAGCCCAGGGCCAGTCTTCCTCAGCAAAAAGAGGAGGATTGGCATGGATGTTAGCTCAGGGCTCATCTTCCTCACAAAAAAAAAAAAAAAAAAGATATCGGGGGACCCCTGGGAGGCTCCTTGCATGTCTAGGCCTCGGAATAACCAGTGTCAGGGAAAGCGTTGGGTCTGGTGTGGTGACATGGGATAAATGAGGAGCTACTGGAGGTGGGCAGGGCAGGAGTGACCACATGACCATGGGGACAGAGGTCCAGGCTCAGGAAGCAGGGACTGGCCCCCCGGCCCCCCTCAGCCTCTGTTCTGAGATGGCATTACGCTGATCTTGAAGCCTGTGACCTTGGGGGCTGAGATGTTTCCAGCGCGAGACTCTGCGGAATTATAGAGTGAATTTCGCCTCGGCCACTTATGAGCCCCGTGAGCCTGGGCAAGTCCCCTGCCTTTTCTGAGCCTCAGTTTCTTGAGCTGGAGAATGGGCATCTGATAGTACCTACCTATTGCCCGGGTGTTGAATCAGCTGGTCTTTGCAACCCCAGGGTCTGGCACAGAGTTTGGTCCAGGTCAAGATTTCTCAGCCTCGGCACTACTGACACATGGGGCCAGATCCTTCGTTGTGGGGGCTGTCCTGTGCATTGCGGGCTGTTTAGCAGCATGCCTGGCTTCTACCCACTAGATGCCGGTAGCACCCCCCAGCTGCGACAATCAAAAATTGCCAGCTGTCCGCTGGCTGGGGGCGCAACAGCACCCCTGGTGGAGAACCGCTGGGCTAGATAAACGGCAGCTGTTAATATCACGCGGACGTGAGGCCTTTATCCAGATGAATTCATTTAGCCTTCCCCACCCCCTCACATGAGGGGAGTGCTGATGTTATCAACCCGTTTTACAAATGTGGAAACAGGCCCAGAGAGGTGAAGTCACTTCCCTGAGGACACACAGCTCCTATGTGGCAGAACTGGGTGGGAACCCGGGCAGCCTGGCCCTGGAATCCTCCTTGCTCTTCACCGTCACACCCCCGGCCCCTTTATGTCCCCATCAGCGGATCCCTCTGCCTTGGCTCTGGAAATTAACGTGGTGCCATGAAACGGGTCAGTCTTGGCTGCGACTCTCCCAGCGCTGGCGACTTAGAGCTGCCTGTGTGAGGCAGCGAGACCACACACCCAGCCCCACAGCTGCGCTAGCGCCAGACAACTTCTCGGTGTGTGTGGGGGGGTGGTTACCGGGACCTCCTAACGATCTGGCCGTCCCAAACCTAACCTGCAAATTTGGCAGCGGGCCACTTAGCCGTTTCTGTGTAATGGGGTGACAGAGCTAACAGAATGGCAGGAATTAAATTTTCTTAACTTGGGTGATAGTGGGGGTGCTGGCTGGGCGAGTGGGGGTCCTGTAGAGGGCGGGCAGGGCTGAGGGCCAGCGGGGTGCTCTGGTAAAGCTGTGGCTGATGTCACCATACTGACATCCTCGTCCACCAGCTGGGAAAGGGCTGCGGCTCTGTGTCATCAGAGGGCCCCCGATGATTCTGGGGGCCCGCCCGGCCCGGTGGGGGGCCCTGCCACCGGAGCTGCCCAAGTGTCCCGGTGGCAGGTTCTCGGGGATGGCGCCCCCTGACCTCTCGGCGCCCCCGTCTCCTCCCCGCCCCTGTAGGAGGTGCTGATGGCTCACGACTTCACCAAGTTCCACTCGCTCAAGCCGAGGCTGCTGGAGGCGCTGGATGAGATGCTGACACACGACATCGCCAAGCTCATGCCTCTCCTGCGCCAGGAGGAGCTGGAGAGCACCGAGGTGGGCGTGCAGGGCGGCGCCTTCGAGGGCACCCACATGGGCCCGTTCGTGGAGCGGGGGCCCGACGAGGCCCTGGAGGACGGGGAGGAGGGCTCAGATGACGAGGCTGAGTGGGTGGTGACCAAGGACAAGTCCAAATACGACGAGATCTTCTACAACCTGGCACCGGCCGACGGCAAGCTGAGCGGCACCAAGGCCAAGACCTGGATGGTGGGGACCAAGCTCCCCAACTCGGTGCTGGGGCGCATCTGGAAGTTGAGTGACGTCGACCGGGATGGCATGCTGGACGACGAGGAGTTCGCCCTGGCCAGCCACCTCATCGAGGCCAAGCTGGAGGGCCACGGGCTGCCCACCAACCTGCCGCGCCGCCTCGTGCCGCCCTCCAAACGGCGCCACAAGGGCTCCGCCGAGTGAGCCAGCCGCCGCCTGCCGGCCCTCCCTCCCACTCGCCTTGCTGTGGCTCCCCAGCTCCGGTCTGCTGCACGCACACCCCACCCGGCCCACACGCACCCTGCCTGCCCACCCTCCCGGCTGTAAGGACGGGGGTCTCTCTAGCCACCCCCCACGGCCAGACAGTGGGGACCAGGCTTCTCTGCCCGCCTTTCACACCTCCACCTGCACGGACGCTTAGGCACATCATGCCGACGCTGACACACACACACACACACACAGGCATCCATCCATCCATCCATTCAAGTATTTATTGAACACCTACTGTGTTTCGATGTTCGGGGCTCATTCTAGGCACTGGGATTACAGCAGAGAGCACAACAGACACAGAGATCTGCCCTCACGGAGCTGACGTTCTCAGGAGAGAACAGCTACACAACCACACACACACACACACACACACCCAGCCCTAACCAGTCTGAGCCCCAGTCTGAGCCCCGATTCTGGGCAGGACCCCTCGCCTCTCCCGTGAGCAGCCACTGGGCTGAAATGACTGACAGGTCCCCTTGCCCCACTCCCTCCTGCCCAGCCAGGCAAGGACCCCCCACCCCATCATGTCCTCAGGCCTCCTTGGGACCACCGGGGGCTCAGAGGGGAGACACAACCTCCTACTTCCACAGAGGGAGCCCCCCCCCCGCCCCCACAGCCTCTCCCCCTAGTTCTGGCCATACCCCTTTTTTTAATAAGCATCCTTAGCAGACAGAAAAGCCCTTTCGATCCTTGTTCCTCTGACTGTGCCCACTTTGAGGTATTTCTGTCTGCCCACCTGCCCTGGATTGAGAGCCCAGCCAGCCCCCCAGGCTCCCCCCAGCTGGTGGTCTGAATTTTAGACTGCTGGACACAGCCTCTGCCCCCCATCAGGCCATACTGAAGCGGAGCTCCTCCTAGATGTAAAGGCCCTGGTTTTATTTCAGTCTCCTTTCCAGGGCTGTCGTGGGGGGAGGCGCTCTTGGTGCTACAGCCCTCCCCCTTCCCTAAAGGGACCTCTCACCCCCGCCCCCCTTTCTTCTGCCTTCACCACATGTTAGTGCTTGACCCTGGTGGGGACCCGTGGGAGAGATGGGGAACAGGGAAAGAGGTGGGGACGATGCCCCCTCCAGGGTGCTCGCCGGGGTTCCCACGCCCACGTCACCCCACCCCATGCCTGGGAGGGGCCTGTGAAAGGAACAGCGTCCCCAGAGAGCGAATAAAGCCGAGGCTGCTTTCCTTGTGGGAGTCGGGCTGTCTTGGGATGGGCTGGGGGTGGGGATCGCTCTCCCCCCGACCCGTGGAGAAGGCGAGCCCTGAGCAGGACTTCAGGGGGGTCCACTCCGAGCTCCCAGGGGCGGGGGTGGAGGCCATGACTCATGCAGCGGGGCCTGATGACTCAAGCCTGGGCTGGGGGCCAGACCGACATATTTTCCAAAGAAAAGGGACTCGGGGGCCCTCCCTCCGGGACATCCCTCCCTCCCACCTCCCGGCGCGGGGGCCTGGGAACCAAGCCCTGGGGCGTGCGTGTGTGTGTGCGCGCGCGCGCGCGTGTGCACGACGTGTCCTCGCCCCCCGCCCTCATGCAGCCGCACAGCTGGGTACACAACTCATACCAGGGACACCTGGAGAGGAGGTGACGCTGCCCGCAAGGACCACCCTGTGTGCGCACGCGCGCGCTCAGCCCGCGGCACTGGGCCGCGCGGTCCGGCCGGCACACACCCAAGGCCACACCCGCGCGCCCGGTTCTCGGCTCCCGGCGCCCCCTGGCGGACACTCGGGAGCTGGGCGGCTGGTCGCCGCGTCCCCCGTCCCAGGTGGTGGGCGCTCAGGTCTCCAGCGCGTCGCTTCCAGTGCTCTGCGCGAGGATCCGCTGTGTGACCCCTGCGTGGCGCCTTTCCTCTCTGTCCCTTTTCCCTTTTTGAGCCGAGAAGGGCCTTTAGGAGGCCCTGCATCCCTGTGGATGGGTGCCAGGGCCACGGGCCTCCGAGCTTCCTTCCTTATTTTGTAAACAGTGACGACTGAGTCGATTCTAAGACGAAGTCCCCGGGGGAGGGGAGCCAGAACAATAGCTGACATTTAGATGCCAGGCACAATCTTAAACGCTTTACATATATTCTCTCGTTTGATCTTCTGCATAATCTATGAGGCGGGTGTACCCTTATCATCCCCATTTACAGATGGGGAAACTGAGGCACAGCTAAACTTGCCCGAGATTAACGATTCCGAGTCTGCGCTTCCAGGGCTCTAGTAGTGTCTGTTTCTAACATTCTCTGCATGTAACATTTTGTGCTTCCAAACTCGACATTCCGAAAACTCTTTAATTTCTGAGATTCTGGGATTGGAACGTGTCTTCTGTGGAATCTGCCACTGATGGTTCAGATTTTTCAAGAAAATTGGATTAAAAATAATAATAAGCAAGGGGCACATGTGTATGGTGACTTTTGGTGGTAAAGACGATGCAGTCTATATAGATGTCAAAATATAATGATGTACACCTGAAATTTGTTATAAACCAATGTGACCTCAATAAAAAAGTAATCGGCAAATAATAAAAGTAATACTCGGATTAAACAAATATTTCTGGGCGGCCTGGAAAGGTGTGTCATCGAGAACCTACAACCAGCGGCCGCCAGGACTCTGCAGAGAAGGGAGCAGCCATTTACCCTTACTCAAGATGGCAGCCTCCTCGCCCCTTTGTGGCTCCAGACCCTTTACCAAGATGGCGGCCACCGGAAGTAGGTCACGGGCGGGGGGGGGGGGGGCGGGAGATCTGCGCGCGCATGCCCCGAACGGGCTTCCGGGACGCCGGCGGCCGGATTCTTCCTTTAACAAGATGGCAGCGGGAAGCAGCGGGGGTGGCGGCCGGCGCTGCTCGAAGAGCGAGGCCGATTCCGGCTTCCTGGGGCTGCGGCCCACTTCGGTGGACCCTGGGCTGAGGCGGCGGCGGCGAGGCCCCAGAAATAAGAAGCGGGGCTGGCGGCGGCTCGCTCAGGAGCCGCTGGGGCTAGAAGTCGATCAGTTCCTGGAGGACGTGCGGCTGCAGGAGCGCACGAGCGGGTGCGTGAGGCGGGACTTCCGGCGGCGGGGCCGAGCGTGCTTGAGGAGGACTTCCGGGGGCTGCGGGCGCTGGTACCTGGGCGCGCGGGGCACGCCGGGAGGATGGGCGGGGGGCTCCGCGTGGGAGGCCGGGGGACTTGCTGGGGTTACCAGATACAGAACGCTTGGTTATATTAGAATTCAGGTAAACAGCGAGTAATGTTTTTAGTATCAGTACATCCCATGCATCATCTGTAGCTTAAGTCCTGTAAACTGAAGGGAGGGGACTTAGCCTGGAGGAGTCCCAAGGCGGAAAGAGGAGGCTTGAATGAGCGTAAGAGGAAAGCGGGGCCCTGAGAGGTTCACCTCCCTCTCCCGCATCTGTGGCTGACATTCTTCATCTCCATATCCCAGAGGCTTGGTATCGGAGGCCCCGGATGAAAAACTCTTCTTCGTGGACACCGGTCCCAAGGGAAAAGGTGAGGAGGCAGGGCCTTGGGTCGGGGGGATGGGGGGGGTGCCTGGCGATGATCGGTCCTTATCTAGCTCCCCTCAGCCTCTGAGAGGATCGGTGTTAATGACGTGGCTTGGATGGCAGAAGGCTGCTAAAAAGGGTCTTTACTGTAAACGGGAGCACGTGGAATGAACAGGAAGCGAGCTGGAGACTAACGTAAAGAAGTCGGGTTTTCTTTTCGAGGTGTCAGAGATCTTAACACGCAGAAAAGCCAGTAGGAGGCTGCCTTGATGAGTAGATTAGACGTAAATGAGGGGGTTTGCCGTGAATTTGCAGAACAGCCAGTCAAGGAGCTGCTGTAAGAGATCAGACCTCTTTTAGTTAGTAAGATGTGTTTTAGTAAGACTAGGAGGATCCGCTTTCACAAGTAGGTGAGAAACGCGTCTTAACCTGCTTGCTTTAATTTGCCGAAATGCAGGGTGGGGACTTGCTGAGACAAGCATGGAAATGAATTAGGGATTGCTTAGTAATAATGTTTGTGTCAGTAGGTAGAGAGACAGGCTAAGAACAGGCCATGTGCTGACACAGGAAGACAAGCTCAAGGGTCTGCTTTAATAACAAAACCGCAAGCTGCTTTAACAGCCGGACGCCCTCTGGGAGCGTGTGTGAGATAGTCAAGGGGCCTGATCTAACCAAAACAAGAGGACCCCTTTCACTGAGCAGAAAAAGTGAAAAATACGTGCTTTGAGGTGGAGGAGGCTGAGTGGGCAGCTAAGACAGGGTTATTGGAGAGCCGACTTTCGCAGAAGCCAGTGGATCTGGTGTGTGAACACAAGGGTGAGTCGGGGACCTGCCCTGGTGGTCAGGTGAGGACGCAGTGGAGGCCAGCTTGGGCCAGGAGGGAGTCTCAGGGGGGTGGAAGAGAGGCAGTTTATAGAGTCTGCTTTAGATTAAAGAAAAAAAAGAGGAAGATAATAATGGTTGTGCACTGTGACAAGCGATCACTGTGTTCTGTGTTCCTGAAATACATCGCCACACAATCCTGTGTGGGAGGCGTTAACCTTCTCATTTTGGAAGCACAGGGGAGTAAGTCACTTTCACGAGGCCCCACAGTAAGCGGAAGGGTATGGTTTCTGTCCTAGTGTGTTTTGTTCTGGGGTTCATTTGGCTATTAGGCTTTAGAAGTGCAAGGCAGAAAACCCTGTTGTACTGACTTGGTCACCTTGGGCCCTGAATCTGGCTCCCTGGGCCTCAGTGCTGCCTGCCCGCTTCCTTGTTAGCGTTATGGTTCTGTGGCCGTTTCCCTGCTGCGTCCGGAAGCCCCTCATGTGTAGGGCGATGGGTCTGACTCCCCTGTGCCCCCAGCACAGGGCTGCGTCCAGCTGGCCTGGGAGATGGGTGTGGGTGTAGGTCAGGGCCTGGGGGCCTCTTCCCTCAGGGGGGAGCCTGGGGTCTGCCTGGGGCCTCCAAGTCGGCGCTGGGCTGCGGGTCTGATGGCTCCAGTGGAGCTGAAGTGGGGGGCTGGGGGGGTCGGTCTTGGGAAGCGAGGCGGCTGAGGCCCTGATGCCTCTCTTTTGTCCCGCTCCCAGAGCTGAGCAAGAAGAGGACCAGAGGCCAGAAGAGGTCACTCCTTCTCAAGAAGCCCCTTCGGGTGGACCTCATCCTAGAGAACACATCCAAGATCCCTGCCCCCAAAGAGTGAGCGTCCCACCACCCCCGACCCTTCTTTCCCGCTGACTCTGGCCTCGTGGGCTTCTCTGCTGCAGCCCCCACCCACTTCCTGGCCCTAAAGGAATTCTTGGGGAGGGAGGGGGGTAGGTGAGGGTCGCTTGGATGGCAGGGATGGGGTCAGATTTGGGCTTGGGAGAGCGAGTGGGGGAGAGTGAGGCGGGGGCCAGGGTGCTGTGGCTGAGGCAGGGGAGGATGGGGTTTGGACCTGGCCGGGGCTCTGGGGATAGAAGGGAGGGGATGGTGGGAGCCACGGTCGGGAGGCGGATCAGGCAGGGCTTAGTGACTGACCCCTGGATGGGGTGGACAGCGGGGCTGCCCCGAGAT